AAAAAAAAAAAAAAATCATGTCTCACAAATCAAGGTATTTTCCATATATCATCACACATAGTTAAGGTTTGGTCAGTCAGTGATTGCTTCTATGTTGCTGGGACCTGGGATTTTTACTCTAGGGAGACTCAAATAAGCTTTTGTGAAGAGAAGCACCCATGACGCCTTAAAGGAAGTGACTGGATTGTTCCATGCATGACTTTTCCATGATGTCATTAGCTTCACAGTATTAGCATAAGGGGGTTCCTGACAAGTTTGCATCAACAGCATGTTACCAGAGAAAGAAAGACTTGATTGGAATAGTGATGCTGACTTTGTTCCTTACTGGACAGGAAATTCAGTTTTCAAAAACATATAGGCACCATAGGACTCAAGGTGATTTTTTTTTTTTTTTTGAGATGAAGTGTCACTCTGTCACCCAGGCTGGACTGCAGTGGCGCGATCTCGGCTCACTGCAAGCTCTGCCTCCTGGGTTCACGCCATTCTGCTGCCTCAGCCTCCCAAGTAGCTGGGACTACAGGCGCCCGCCACCAGGCCCAGCTAATTTTTTTTTTTTTTTTTTTTAATTCTTCAGCTAAAAGAGCGGAAGAGGTGATTTATTTTAGGGTTGTTACACTCGGCCACAAATAAACACAGAAATAGTCCAGAATGTCACAAGTCCAGGGCAGAGGACCAACATGGGCAGTTTTGTTTATGAGCAAGGTGGGTCTCAGAGGTGATCGGCGATCAGAGGGCGATGAAGTTCTAGATCGATTGAGACAAGCTCTAGACAGTAGCATGCAGTCCCACAACTTGTACCAGCATCCCCAGCGCCTGGCATTCCATGTTTCTGCTCCTGTGGCCTCCACGATGCAACAAGCTAGCAGTTTACTTGGACCTCTGCCTCATCTTTCTTCTTTTGCGCTTCAGCCTGCGCATTCGCTTCTTCCTCCACTTGGCTCTCATGGCGCAGAGGTTTCCAGAAAGATGGCGCTAAGGCCGAGAGCAGGCCCAGCTAATTTTATGTATTTTTTAGTAGAGACGGGGTTTCACTGCGTTAGCCAGGATGGTCTCGATCTCCTGACCTCGTGATCCGCCCGTCTCGGCCTCCCAAAGTGCTGGGATTACAGGCTTGAGCCACCACACCCGGCCAGGTGATTTTTTAAACAAAAGTACTAGCTGATTGCGGCGGCTCATGTCTATAATCCCAGCACTTGGGGAGATGGAGACAGGAGAATCACATGATCCAGGAGTCAATGACCAGCCTGGGAAACAGGGAGACTCCATCTCTACAAAAAATAAATAAAATCATAGTATATACTTTGATAAGAAGTGAATTTATATATTTTAACTGAGGTATGTTATGGTTAACAATGTCCATAAATTATAGGGAATATGTCAGGATTTAGAGAATAGTATGGCAAAAACCAGTCCAGAAGTCTGATGGCTGGCCTTCCGTCACCAGAAGGCCGAGTCTTTTGCCCCTGAACAGGCACATGTCATACACCTGCAATGCGAGATGATGCTCCTCAGTGACCATGATGGATCAATACAAAAATAACTCATTCTTTAACCATGTCTCAAAATGTGACAGAAGAAAACACTTTAAATCACAAAGATACCCCAAATTTTGCTCTTCTCATGAATGTGACTACCTTGTAATTCTCATACATCTCACAGTCATCTATGGCTTTTGGTCATATTCATTACTACAGTATGTTACACCCTCTTTGATGACAGTTATGCCACTGGTGGTCTTTGGTCAGAAGTCACTCAAGAACATGGGATGACCTTTGGTGTTTAGAATAAATGAAAAGTCATGATCCAGATAAAAACTAAGAATATAAGCATGAAAAGTAAAATCTACATGAAGAAAAATATGCCTGACATCCACATGGCAACACTGACTCACAGTGTCCATGGGATAACATGGTAACACTATCAACTTGATCTAATACATGATGCTAATGGGATGTTATAATATAGCTTCTTAATTAAAAAATAATAATTGTTAGTATGCAGTTGTAATAAACAGTTAATAAGCTTATTTCTAAAATACATGAACAAAAGTCTTTGTTGCCAAGAAACCACATTAGTGTTTTTAGTCAGGTATACTCATACAAAGTTAAAAATGAAGTGAGACATTACATTCAGTTGTGATATGTTTCCTGATAAGAGCAAGGTGGCTCTTCTCACATAAAAGCCCTTGGTGAGACCAATCACTGCACAATGCAGCAGAGGAACAAGCTCCCATCTAGTTGGTTTAATCAAGAACAAGGTCACTATCCGTAGAAATAACAATGCTTGCAACACAAAGTAGACTTCTTAAACCAACTCAATCTATAGAGGAGTTGGGCATCAGGGAGTATTTCCAGCCATAACAACATTTATTAGTTCTCTGGTAAACATTTTAACATTTCTGAAGAAATAGCAAAGTGGGCATGTATCTTTAATGTGGAGCACCTGGGGACATCTCTGGAGACCTATAGCTCTGAGGAACAGAGACAAGTGATTTGGGGGATACTCTCTTTTTTTTTTTTTTTTTTTT